CAAATTAAACACACATATTACAAAATAATTACATCACATAGTTGTAAACAATCAGAAAACAAAATACGTTGACTCTAAATAAACAAATTGATGACAAGTAATTTTCTAAAATGTCATCTCCTTAGATTTTAAGAAATATGTGTTTTATTTTTATACTTTGATTAGTACTAAAATGTACATTACCGTGATTTTCATATTCTAAAACAATTATGTTGCGTAATACAAACCATTGCAATTCATTTCTGTTCGCTCAACTTTTTCGCGAAATTATCAGAAATATTTATTTTGCAGTCAACAAATTGAGGTGACATTCAGAAAGTTATTTAAATTATCTGTTAAATATTTCTGAAGATTTATTGATTGAACATGTAATAGACGTAGTAAAATGTGAATTATTTTTTGAGATGTGTAATGAATTTAGAGAAATTTTTTATTAAGTATATATTTTAAAAATATTTACATTTTTTTCATTAAACATCAGAACTTCAAAAAGTTCAATAATTTGTCTTTACATTCCCAAACTTCAAACTTATTTATTTTCTCAGTCAATAAATTTACAGAAATAGACATTACTGAGTCATAGAAACAAATGAAGACTAGGAATGGCAATGATTTTGAATCAATTTGCCTCACTAAAAATTTCCTTTAAGTTGGAAATTGAACCACCTATTTTGTCGCATGATAACTGTTCGTTGTCTTGGTGTTATCCCTAAATGGAATAATAAGTGTTTTGTCTTCAATTAAGTGATGACTTTATTAAACAATTTCATTTTATGATAATTATTCTAGTAATTTGTCATAATTTACTGATACGAGACTAACCCAAATTGAGTTTCCATATCGTGCTCTCATTTATTACCGTGAAAAAATATTACCAGAAATTGTATTTAGACACCAGTGTTCTTATTTGTTAAAAGTCAATACTTTAAGAGTGTATTATGCAGCCGTCAAAACGTTCACACATCAAAACAATCTTCACTTAGTGGACGTAATTTTGTTGCGCATCGCAAAACTAATAAAGTAGATCGTTATGGCTACTATGTAAATATATTCATTGATTACTCTTTTTGTGATCACCAAAAACACGACTCTGGATTATGCTATGATGTAAATTTTGTCTGGCAAGTGGTTAAAGTAATTTTGAACAAATTTTTTCATCATCACACTTCTTGAAGATTTGAAACAAAGCTGTTCATACTTTATAATGATATGACGCCATGGCAGCACGCATAGTAATGGTAATGAAAAGTACCATAAATGAGTTCATGGATATATGAGCAGTGAAAGTCAGCATGAAACCATCCTTTCGTGTGAAAATTAGAATTTGAATGTAAATGGAACTGGCTTTCTGTGTCACAAATATTTAATGTGCTTGTTTGTACATATTTGTGAATAATTGTTCATATATAAGTTGTTGTGTGTGTATGTGCGTGTTGTTTTGCATAAATACAGAGTGTAATTTGATTAAATGTATGAATAGTGTGTAAAGTGTGTGTTAAAAGTGTTGTGTTTAAAGTGTATGTGATTATTGGGTCTCTTTTTAAACTCGGACTCAGAGTAGATCCCCTGATACATAGACAGTTTTGTAGCTGTTAAAACATCAAGACAAAAATTCATGTATCTGCCTCGTGTCTGAAAGATCTCGTGTTCGAATCCCACCCACAGCATGTATGTGTTCGTATACAGAAAGCGAGTTCCTCTACCGTTGCTCCCAAATTTAAAAAATCTTTTGTAATTACAGTGTTCGCTGTGTGACCTAGTAGTTGAAAAGTGACCTAAAAATCTATGAAGCAATGCACTCTCCCTTAATATGTACGAATTGTATATGTATGAAACGTATGTAGGATGTTTGAATCTTTGCTCATGTACCTGCGTTTGGTGACTGACGGATCATCAAACCGAAAGAAAAATCATTGTTTTTCGGAAATTTTACTTTTTAACTATACATAAAGCGCATTAATAAGCTTCGAATTCCAAAGACGTCCCTAACATACTAATTTTTGTAGAAAAGGATAAACAATCATCAAAATGGTATAAGTCTTTTAGGTATCCATCACTCATTTGCTGCAACAGTGACAAGATTCAAAGCTTATTCTTCAGGAGGCAAGTTTAAACTTTCAAGGTCGCGCATAAAATACATCGTTACAACAGCTCTCGTGAGATAAATTTACAGTTTTCATATGCCTTTTATCTGTGAAAGTGTTCCAAATACCGTAATTATTCGTTCTAATAATTGAGTTATGCTATTTGTACAGCAAATGAGTGTTGTGTCTTTCTTACACGAATTGAACTTTGCGGAAATGAGCCAATTTCCAACACGTACATTTTCTTACTTTTTGTGCCAATTAATTTAGTAAACGAATTATTATTACTATTATTATTATTATTATTATTATTATTTTTAATTCTTCCAACATTAACCATTTACGCATACACGATTTTTTTGAAACATCTGAAGCAGATTTTTTCGTTACTTACAATTTTGTAACAATGTTTTTCTTATTTTACCATTACTATTTTAATTAATTAAAATTTAGAGCATGAGTGTAAAATTATTACAATGCTAGTTATAAATAGCATATTCGTATACGCATTAGAAAATGTCATTCCCTCTCATATTCATTTAAATTTTCCCCTTGATATGCATTTTAATTCTCCTGTACCAAAAATAATTCGATCCTGAGCAAACTACTATCGTCCATGTATGTCTTTCACTTGACATATTTCATGAACATGTTGGTTGGTAAGTAGTGCTGAGAGTAAACATTTATAATAGATCTCTTTTGAGCCCATAAAAAGACTAGTCTTCATTTGTTTTTTTAACTCTATGCCCTGCAACCTGCCCACCTTCGGTACCCTGCAGAGGAGGAAAGAACAAGTGTATTGGTTTTTCGACGAGTTACTTTTAATCGATCAATATGTAACTTTTTAATTACTCCGTAAAATTCTTTTTACTGCTTTCGAATTAAGATCTCAGCAGGTTTAACCTCAGCAGGTTTTAAATTAATGAAACTTGAAATCAATAAATGAAACCTTTGATGATGTTTTAAAATCTAATAATTTAAGTGTATATATTTTAGAATTCTTAATTATTGTAAACGTAACTTCAAACTCAATTCATTTAAATTATATAATCATTCGACTTCATGGGAAAAATATTCAGCAGCTATTTATTCGGATAAATTAATTATTGAATGAATTAATATATGAGAAGTCTGTTGTTTGTGAGTTTTTGTACGTTCTAACCAATAATTTTTAATCAATTTTGAATGTCCATTTATATGAGTTACGTCATATATAAGAAAACTGGGGAGTTAGTTTCTAACATTCAGTAAATGAACATTTATTATTACATATTTTATCTTTCTTCTGGATGTTCGATAAGGTATAATCCAATAACATGTAATGTAACATCTAATAATAAATTCCGAATAATTTTGTGTATTGCTAAGAAAGAAGCCCTTCGTTTCCTGAATCATACGCATAAAACAAGACCGAAACAGGGTATGCAATTTTAGTAAGCGATAATGATGTTTTATTAAATATGAACGTAATATATTATTTTAGGAATACTGACAAAACCACTACGCCCGCCACTCCTCCCACATCTAGCAAAATGATGCGTAGATATTAACATTACTGTTTACGGTCAAAAAATCAAAGGAAGGTGTCATTCAGCGTTTCATCATTGCGAGTCAAATAAAGTGACCATCTCAGCATTTCCTCAATTTATTTGTATCGAAAAAAGAGCTAGATATTTAATTTCATAGGACTGCGGGAAAAATTAACAACCCCTACACTACTCCTACACCTAGCAAAACGGTGCAAAGATCTTAACGGTACTCTAATTTTTACTAATACTTTATTGCTTGTCATTGCATTTGATACAGAGTTCGATATAAACTACATACCTTACATGGATCGAGAGTATAGTGACTACGAGGGAAATATGAAAACAGTTGATATGACATACCCTCTTTTGAAAAAAATTATGGGAGGGAAATACGAAAGAAAATGCGAGTCAAGTTAACATCTAATTAGTTGTTAAATACGTAAATCTGAATCATTAATACTAGGTAAAAAATAAAATATTGTGTGTACCCGGTTCGTTAACATGTTCTTATAATCTCTGGCGCCAAAGACTTTCTGTCTTATTGTCACCACTCGGCCCTTAAATGCCTTTGAAGCATAATATATTTGCACCAAAAGCGTTATAAGGGTTATAATGATCGAGCGGCGGTGAAAACCTGAAGGGCCTTTGGTGCAAGGGTTTTTTTATCGCCCGAGATCATTAGAACCAGTTAAACGTCTGTTGTACATACAAGATTTTATTTTTTTTCCTGATTTTATTGATTCAGTTTTACGTTTTTACTAATTAACTAGTTGTTAACTTAATTTGTTTTGTCTTTACATATTTCCCTTTAAAAATTTCTTGTACTAATTTCCTCCGTGAGGAAACATGTAGCATCTTTCAACTGTTTTCATATTTCGCTCGTAATCCCTATACTCTCGATCCAGGTAAGTTACGCAGTGAATATTGAGGTCCATATCGAACACAGCAATAATGTATGAACGCCGGTCCGGATGGCCGAGAACGTTAAGGCAGTAGTGCCGTAGTGATATCGGACCGAAGGATCGCGGGTTCGACTCCTGCCTCAGCCATGGTTGTACTTGTGTTCGTCCATCATCATGTCATCTTCACAGTTACCTTGCCGTTCAATGAAGTAGTGGGCGCTTATGACCTGGATGCGACCTTAAATAACAAAACTAAAACGTATCGGTAAAAGAATAAATAATTATTTTCGTGACCAAATTCAAACCAAGGGGGTCGTGCTCATTGAGAGTAATAAAGCGAGTCTTTCCTCCTCATCAAGGGTCGTTCTCCTCCCCCTCCCTGGCCCGCCCGCAGCAGCTGTCCCGGGGCGTCGTCCTTCAGCGTGTGTGTGTGTCGGGCGGCGGCGGGCCGGGCGCCTGCGTCGCCTTCTCTCTCTCCCGCAGGCACCAGCTCGGGCACCGCTTCGGGCGAGGCGGCGGCGGCGGCGGCGGCGCTGACGTCTGCTGCGGGGCTGGCGCGCACGGACTCGGGCCGCACCAACACCACCGACGTCAGCGAGACGTCCACTACCACCGAGGACTACGTGACGGCCAACGAGAACAACTCGGGCACGGACACGTCGTGCTCGCGGCCCAGCGGCACGGCGCCGCCGCCGCCCCACGCGGGGGACGCGGCCAGGAGGAGGAGGCGCGCGGTGGCAGGTGGCGTGTTGTCGACAGGCGTCGCTACGGCCACGCCCCGCCGCGCCCGCCGGGAGGGGCGGAAAGGGGCGGGGACAGCGGAGGTCCCCCGACGCAGCCGCCGCCGCCGCCGGCGCCGCCCACCCGCCCGGCGGCCCGCCGCAGCCCAGGGGAGACGCCGGGTCGTCGTTCGAGAGCGGATCGTCCGTGTACAGCTTCGCCAGGGATATGGGCTCCGAGGACATTCCGACGGTCAGTACAGTCCATGTACTCAAAGTAATTCAAAGGTCCATATTTCGAAATTTCATATTTCGAAGTTTTATATTTCGAAGTTTTATATTTCGAAGTTTTATGTTTCGATGTTTTGTATTTCGAAGTATTATATTTCAAAGTTTTATATTTCGATGTTTTATCTTTCGAAGTTTTATATTTCGAAGTTTTATATTTCGAAGTTTTATATTTCGATGTTTTGTATTTCGAAGTTTGATATTTCGAAGTTTGATATTTCGAAGTTTGATATTTCAAAGTTTTCTATTTCGAAGTATTATATTTCGAAGTTTTATATTTCAAAGTTTTCTATTTCGATGTTTTATATTTCGAAGTTTTATGTTTCGATGTTTTGTATTTCGAAGTCTTATATTTCGAAGTTTCATACTTCGAAGTTTCATACTTCGAAGTTTTATACTTCGAAGTTTCATACTTCGAAGTTTCATACTTCGAAGTTTTATACTTCGAAGTTTCATACTTCAAAGCTCTGTACACCGAAGCTCCATATTTCGAAGTTCCGAACACCAAAGCTGCATACTTTGAAATTCTGTATTTTGAAGCTCTTCGTTTCAAAGTTCCAGATTTCAACGTTCCACAATTCATAGCTCTACATTTCAAAATTTCATAATCCCGAATTTCATACTTCGAACTTTGATCCATTGAATTTAAATCATTTAAACTTCGATAGTCGCCAGCAGAAATCTCTCTTGGACACCAAGCTTTTGTTGGCCGCCTGCTGGCTCCCATAGCTCAATGCTCAACTCTCAATGTCCCCTGTAGAAAATCATTGATTAAGCTGGGATCTCGAATACATTCCAAAGAACCAAACCAAACTTGTCATTTTTTGGTCCGAGATCAATACACGTTCGATGGAACCTCAGTTGCAATGATTGGTGGATTGGACGAGGTGTAACCGTGAACAAATTAACACCTGGCCACTCCCTGACCACTCGTCACTCCCTGGCCACTCGTCACTCCCTGGCCACTCCCTGAATACGGAATCATCAGTAACAGGTTGAGGCCTCCCAGAATCTCTGATATTACCCGCTATTTTCTTCGAGTTTTGACATTATTTGCAGCACATTTGTTACAGGCAGGAAGTACACGTGAGGCGTGGGCGGACGGTGATAGTGCCCGGGTAGGAAAAATATCCTCATGGCATAAGAAAGGTTGCATCTCCAAAATCACCGGCAGAGGTAGCTCAGGGCATCAATTGATGTCATTACAGTGTCTCTTTTCGGGAGTCTGAGTTCTTAGAGTCTGAGTTCTTGAGCGGGTAACACGATTTTGTACTCTAGGTAGATAGCCACGTCTTATTCAGCTCTTGCCCGGAGGAGAATTGTAGTGGCCAGCTACAATCAATCTACTTTATTATAGTTACTAAAAATTTATAAAAATAATTTTCAAGACATGCTTGTATTTTTTAAATGCCATTATACCCTTAAGGTGAAGCTTCTGGTACCAACGATTAAGATGTTGCTGCGAAAGTAAATTTACAAATGGACGTCGCTTTGTCTTTGTCAAAAAAAGCTTTGCAAATAATTAGAAGATACTGGGCTGCGCGTTCTTCTACAATATTGAATTCAATGATGCCTTATTTTACGTGGCAAGACTCGGGCTATCACGCCCCAGCTCTTCTGTCCGGCCACACCAATTTCGCTACGCTCCTTTCACCGAGTAGCGGGGAAAAAACGAACTACAAGAGCGACGAAACAGGTGATTTACATTTGCATGCAGTGAATCCTCTAGATGGGACAGCCGGAATTACTTCCTCTCCGAAGAAGGGCATACGAAGGACATTTCCGCCCTTAAAAATCCATGTGTTCAATCGGATTTGAAGCCGCACACTTTGGTATAACAGCTCGATACGCTAACCGTTACACCATCGAAGCCGCGTAAAATATGTTGTCATCAGTCGGTACTTTCCGTACGAAGGATTTTTGTGTGCGTACAGGCGGCGTCGCCGCCACCCATCCTGGAAGAGGACGGCGGGGAGCCGTTTCCTACGAAGGCGGGGGAGTCGGCGGCGGCGACGGGAGCGGGAGCGGAGGCGGCAGCGGGGGCGGCGGCGGGGGCCAGAACCACCCCGCGGGGCAGCGGGGACCTCACGGCCGCCGCCCGCGGCGCCGCCTCCCCCAGCGGGGACAGCAGCAGCAGCTCCGGCAGGTAAATCATAGCGCACGCGACTGTCGCAAGCAACCGCAGTATGCGTCCGAAGCATGTAATCATAGCATTCGACTGGCGCAAGCAATAAATGCAGGCGACTGTTACAAGGGGGTCGTAGCACGCGATCATTGTATGGAATAGAGATTTGCTGACTTTGTAAGTAACTGTTGCATGCGAATGTCGCAAGTGATCGTTCCCTTCTTTTTGCAATAATTAATCTCAAACTCCCTTTCTTATTGTTTCGCATTCCATACACTCCTATTTTACGATATCTTGGTACGTACCGTTGCGACGGTCGTTTTGTATGAAATGGAACATTCGTTTTCCTGAAGATCCAAACACTCTTTATTAAATCGTGTTATTTCATAGACACACGTTGTAGATCGTGCATCTGCTTCAGACATGTCCTCCATTCTCATCGGAAAATGATCTTCCCTTCGAGCAACCACATTCGGTTCCAATCAAAGAAAATGGTAATTGCCTGGTATGAGTGGAGAGAAGCGATGCAGCTTAGTTTTTAAATCACTACAAAGCACACATTCCCAAGATACAAAAATCACCACTTCCCAGTTTGTTCGCGACAAATGTCGACAACGCATCTTCAACGAATTCGCCCGAGGCGACCTTACGTCACACAGTTGCGAATCGCCAACTTCTTTGACGCGATTCTTAGTTTTATGTACTCGCAAGTCTATCATGGGCAAGCCTCGTGGTTTAGTGGCGAATTCGCTTCCTTTCACCACTGAGGTTCCGGGTTCGATTCCCATAGAATCCTTGTTGAACCTCAAGTGAAATTTGTTACGACAAAAAGAGTTACCATGCTTCACAAGGGCTAGTCCCTGTGGAGCGTCCTAAACCTTACTTTATCCTTATTACTTCCCAATCCTGGCCGATTGGTAGATGATGCAGGGCGCGTGCGAGACACGAGTGCAAAGACGAGCCCTATCGACGATTTCCTGAGATGGCTACGACTGACGTGACTACCCAGCGGCCCCTAGAAGGTGCTGGGTGATTAATAACGGAGGATTACTCCACCGTGCGCTCAAGGGCCCTGCTACTCTCCATCAAAACCGGGAACAAAGCTGGAAGGTGCTACTTTAGGAGGCGCTAGTGTCACCGTCTGCAGCTGCTAGTTAGGCTCGCCAACTTTCCCACATACAAATTAGCTAATTTGTGAGAAATGCTAAAAGTGTATTCTAAATATTCAATTATTCGTAATCTGTTCTGATAAGAAACCTCGGAAGAAAGCGCGAACACAGACGTTATCTTTTGTAACATTTTGAGTCTGCTTGCGACCCGCGAACTCACGTAGCAGCCACGCACGTTTTAAGTATCGTTGGCAGCAGTTCGTGTTTTAGTTTCTGTAAGATGCAGCAGAGCGCGCCACCGTTATGGTTTCCACCACGTTAAAATGCGATTTAGAGGGCCCTGGTGCGCCCAAACCCTCATAGGAGCTAGGAGACGCGTTGCGTATATAGACGCAACAGTCTCTTTTTTTTAAAAAAAGAAAGTCATAGAGTGTTGTGACAGAGGTGTGTGTGTGTGTGCGTGCGCGGGGGCAGTTACAGCATCGGCGGCAGCACGGAGGACGTGGAGCGCGACGCGGCGCCGCGGGCGCCGACGGCCACCTCCCCGCCCTCCGAGGGAGAGCGCTCGGGCCGCTGCTCCTCCTCGGGCTACTACGAGTCGCCCGTCGACGAGGACGACGACGACGCCGACGGGTGAGCGCTCCGCTCCTTCTCGGGCAGCTCGCCTCCCTAGTCTACACACTCCAATCCGCCTTAGTCAACCTGCCGATCACGACCTTCCGACGACAACCTGCCGACCCCACCTGAAAACCACAACCTACCGACAACAACCTGTCGATTCCAACCTGAAAACCACAACCTACCGACAACAACCTGTTGAT